TACAAATTACGGGGCCCTCAGTAAATATTTGTTTTAAAAATTGTTTAGATTTCAGGATGGACCATTTAGTAGAATTCCACGGTCCTACCCAAAATAAATATGCTAGTCGCTTTAGGCGCGCCTTTAATAATTTAATTTCCTTAAACTCGGGTGCACATTGATGTGACCCAAATCCAAATCTCAACGGAGTCAAAGTATGTCGACGACCACGGGTACATTGATTGTAACGCGGTTCGAGATACATTTTCACAACGTTGCAATTCTTGATAAACACAGTAAATGATAAGAGCGATTAAAAGTTAAATTTTGCACATAAGTTCACACTTGTACAAAATCAGATAATCAAGCCGAATATAACAGTTGAGCGACCGTGCTAGAACCACGGAACTCGGGAATGCCTAACACCTTCTCCCGGGTTAACAGAATTCCTTATCCGGATTTCTGGTACGCAGACTTTAATATAGAGTCATTATTTTCCTCGATTCGGGATTAAAATTGGTGACTTGGGACACCCTAAATCTCCCAAGTGGCGACTCTGAAATAATTAAACCAATCCCGTTTCGATTGTCCTTTAATTGGAAAAAACTCCCCCTGCCCCATCGGGCGCGGAAAAAGGAGGTGTGATAGTATATATCCGTAATCTCTAAAAAATTCTGTATGTGCCTCTGTGGATCTTCATGAGATAGACCCACATACTACCCTGTGGACTGAATCAGTTGCAACATGTGCTGTTTGAGCTTAAAGTGTTCCGCTGTGAGCACCTAATATTTGCCCTAATATAAAATAACTTATAAAAATTTCAAAAAAATAGATTTAAATCATTTTTCTATCTGTTTTACTTAGTTTGCTTTGTACTTATTCATATTTGATGCATTTTTAAGTTGCATTTTAAATCCTACAGAAAATACAAAAATATTTTGAATCTTTAAATTTTTAGGTGTTAATTGCATAATTAATTGCATTTTTAAAACACTAAAATGCAAAAAAAATACTTTAGTAATATTATATGCATTTGTTAAGTAAATTAACTAATTGTTTTAAAAATAAATCATTAGGTTAATTTTTCAAATAAGTTTTTAGAATTAGAGAGTTTAATTAAGTGGCTAATTTTGAATATAATACCAAGAGAAAGAGAAACGGGCAGCTGACTTTACAATTGAATTGGGCTGCCCTTTCAAGCCCAAATACCTGCTCAGTCTTGCCCTATACCCATTCTTCCTATCTGAACCGTTTGGCCCAATAGACATCATTTAATAAAACACCGTCATCTCTCATACACTCCGAGAACGGATCCCTCCCCAAAATTATAAACCCTACAACCCTTCCTCAAATCTCACACAACATCAGACCCTATTTTCCCTAACCATCAACAGTGCAACCCCCTCTCATTTTCTTCTTCACCTACCAATACACATATACAACATATCTCAAACAAAAGAACAGAGACAGACCAAGAAAAGAAAATCGGAATCTCCTCTCAAAAAGAAAAACCCATCGGCAGACCATTCCCCCATCTCCCCTCACACTCGTCTCTCACCACCTTACACACACGCACACAAAAGCATTTAGAAACCAAAAAAAAGCATTTAGCAACAAAAAAAAAACAAGAATAAATTGGAAGTTCTGAAAGATTTTGAAGCTGAAATGACAGAAGAGGTTTCAAAACTAGAAGAAAATCGGGGGAACAGGGAGTTTCGAAGACTTTGCTGATTTTCGCTGCTTCATCTCTCCAATTATGGGTTTTCGAGTTTTGATTTTGATTTTAGAAGTTGAAGATGCGTTTGTTGTTTCTACTTTCGCTGAGCTCCAGCTTTCCCTTCGCCTTTATTTGGTTATTCAGGTTTATCTCTACTGCTGTTTAGAGGTATTTATCTTAATCTCGAAGTGTAATGATTGTTCGGACATCCATGTGCTATAAATTTGATAAAATTTGTTTATGTATATATGGAGGAATTGTTCTTTGATGTTTTTCTGTTCGTTCACGGTTTGGATTTGTTGATTTTATTTCTGTTCGTTATACAAGAAATTAAATAACACCTTCTTACAACTCTAAATTTTTCCTCCTTTTGTTCACATCTAAAAGGAAAAGGGAAATTTGCCTAACAGCATTTGGTTGGTTTGATTGTTGAACATTTGAGATAGGTATGTGTTTCTATTTTTCTAAAAGTAAAATCATGTGTAGCAGGTATTGTTTCATGTGCTAAATCTATCTTGATTAGACTGTTTTCAATATATTCCAAGTTGTATTGATGTTGTGATAACTTATCTATTTGTTGGGTGTTGAGTTGGTTTATGTCAAGCACTAATATCTCAACAGACATAGTTGCTAGTCTTATGCTTCAATTACATCTGAACGTTTGACAAGTTATGGGGGAAATAGAAGTAATTGAATCCCTTTCCCTTGTTTGCTATTGAAAGGTACAACTTAAAACATGTTGATTATTCCAAACCAGACTTAAAATCTAACTCTTCGGCACTTTATTTGGTTTTTGAGATTCAATTAGCTTAGCATTAAATCATAGGTCCATTTCCAGTATATATAGTGGATTCGTGAAAGTTTGTACAGCCACTCCACAAGATTTTTTGGGTCCATTTTATAGCAACATTTCAAAGAGAATCAGAAACATCTTTTCTTCTTGCTCTATTCCTTTTCAAGAATTAATTTTGATAATGGGTTATTCTGTAGTTATTGTATAGTGTATTTTGCTCCCTCAATGCCTTATCCATAAATCATGCCCTCTTAACAATTTAAATTAGATTTAGAAAAAATAATTAATAAACATCTGTAGTTTACTTTAGGCGCGATTAATAATAATTATCGTGGCCATGGGTACAATTCCAGTGGCATGGCCACGATACGTAATCCCCAATTCGGGTGTGCATTTCATGTGACCCGACCACAATTTCGAACAACTTTAATAAAATAAACATGTCGCAAATCGTGGGAGTATTTCATGCAGCGTGGTTTGTAATGTGTTCCAAAATTATAAGTGTACGACAATCGTAACTTGTTCAAGAAATAAACCGATAAATTCTAAAAGCGGTATAAAAATAATTAAAAGCGGTTATAAAGTTAAAAATGCACACTAGGTTTAAAACATGTAATAAATCAAATAATTAGGCCATATATTAATAGTTAAGCAACCGTGCTCGAACCACTGAACCCGGGAATGCCTAACACCTTCTCTCAGGTTAACAGAATTCCTTACCTAGTTTTCTGGTTTCGCAAACTTTTAAATAAAGTCGATTTTCCTTGATTTGGGATTTAAAATAAACCGGTGACTTGGGATACTAAATAAATTATTCCAAGTGGCGACTCTGAATCAATAAATAATCCCATATCGATTAACGTCACTTTAATTGAAAAAACTCTCTTATATCTCCCCCTCGGTTGGTAAAACGGAGTTGTGACAGCTCTGGCGACTCTGCTAGGGATCAGGGTTCAAGAATTCGAGCTTAGTACAACTATTACAGTTGGCTTGTTTTTATTATCTGATTTTTACATGTTCGAGCATAATGTGTTAAATGCTGCTTTTTACCACTGTGATATTGTTTGGACTGTATATTAACTATTACGAAACTTCTCTCTGAGTCTTCTAAATCACCTGATTAGTGTGTACTTTGTATGACTTCTTTTCTGTTAGAGTCATATCCCAAATTTAGAACGAGATTCAGACAAGTTGCAAAGCCGATGAAGCTTCTGTATTCCGAGTACGCTGCCCCCCCCCC